GATTTATTCTAATAATTCTATTATATATTTTATTGACGCCATCTGTCTTTGCAGATTTTTGATAAAAATGAATGCTTAATGTTTATCCTTTTCAACTCCAATTCCATATTCATAACAGATACCAAGTGCAAATATTCCACTAATACTTCCCACCTTTGCAAATTTTTGATAAGAAGTAAATGCCTTATGTCATCCTTTTCAGCTCCAATTCCATTCTAGAAACAATATCCAATCTGGAATGTTCCATTAGTATTACTTATTTTTGCAGATTTTGATCCTCTTTAACTCCAGTTCTATTAATATAATAATATCCAACCCAGAATGTCTGATTCCAACAGTGAATGGTTTATAATTCTAACAGTAGCTGGGTCAAGGATTTCAAAAATATATAATTTAGTGATTTCACTATTTGGTGGACTTACGGTTTCCACAGCGGATGGATCATAGTGTTAATAGTAGGTAAGTAAATAAATTTAGTGGTGGTAGTTCACTATTTTAACAACAGATAGGATCATGTTTCTAACAGTAACTGGTTCGTGATTTAATATTTGATAGGTTTGAGATTTCTATAATGGATAAGTCATTATTTAACAACGAGTTGATTCATAATTTTATTAGTAGGTAAGTAATGATTTCAATTGTGAATAGTTTAAGATTTCAACAGTAGATGGATTCTCGATTTCGATAGTGGTAGATTTATAATTTATAGCACTTTGCTAAAAATTGTGAATATCTACTAGCTAATTTCATTTTATTCGTGATTCTTTTTTTAGAAGGTAACGATAAAGAATATTTATTAATTCGACTATTTGCTATAAGCTATTTATTTACTTTCAATTTACACGCATTAGTTCTGGTGAGTATAGAAAAAAAGTTTATTATTTTATTGATTTAAGAATTTAAAATATGCTATTCGAATTCATAAATATCTACTATCTAATTTCATTTTATTCGCGTTTTTTTATAGGACAACTATAAAGAATAATTATTACATGATATCGTTTAATTTATATTAATGCGTTCATAAAGGTTAGGCGATGAAGCCGCCTACTTGTACTTCTCTAGTCATATGATTAATACTATTCTGGGTAGCTTATACGAAATACCGTAGTAAGAAAATGATGGTAATTTTATAACAAAAAAATTAAGCCAATAACTTCTATACATTTACATTAAATTTCAAAATTTTGATGTAACTTACGATGTAACTTACAAAAAACATTTATGTTAATCAAAATTTTCAAAATCATATAAGTTATAATGTAAGTTTACAACCCTTCTTCAATACATGTAATATACTAAAAATTTGAAGTAATGCGATTCGTTTTTTACAGTACATTTAAAAGTAGCCCGTTTATAAAAATAATTTTGCCCCTGGGTTCTACCCGGGTGGCCGATGCCCACCCGTTGGGTAACCCGGATAGCATTTTTTAAAAATGTTCGAATCATATTCTTTAATATTTATGATCAGAAAAAAAACAACTGATATCGCAATCATTACAGTATATTAAAATGCATAAGATCCGATATTCTTAGATCACATGACTTATTAATAAAAAGCCATTTTGCGTTAGATATTTTATAATATATAATTAACTGAAGCTGAGGGGAGCGAAGTAAAAGCCTTTCAAGTTTTACTCTACAGAATTTTCGAAATGTCCGGTTCCCGGTCCAATTGGACCTAATTTAGGTTCAACATCCAGCAATTAGATCTACTATAAATTAGGTCAGTTTTTGGATACCGAAATTTTAATTTAAATTATAATAGCTGATTTGATGCTGCAGAATAATTTTTTTTTTAAAAAATGTTAAGCAGTTATATTAATTTAAAGTTTGAAAATTTGAAATTTATACAAATTACAGTTGATTATATAAAATTAACCAATCATTATTGATTATATAATTTTAAATTTGCTGATTTAAGAAGCAAATCTTATGTTTTTGATATACCTGCACTTATTTTTTGATATATCTAAACATGCCCTAAAACTAGTTAATAGGATTGCGTGCTGTTACAGGCGGAATAGACTTATATTAATTTAATTAACAAATGCAGAAAAAATAGGTTAAGGCAACTCGTCAGAGGCGTGACAGCAATTGATTAATTTAAAGGGTTTTATGCAGAAAGGTTTTATATTTTATTATTGAAAAGTCTTTGTGCCATCCGGAGTAATATGCCCCTATCACGGGAGGATTTGTGTGGGGTTTCTGGTTCGTGAGTTATTGAGCTTGAATTTTATTATATATTTTATTATCATCGTCATTGATCTATAAAAAAATCTTTATTATTAGAATTTACTATATGATTTGCATTATGTTTGTAATTAGACAGACGACCATCATAATTTAAATCGAGTGTCTTTTTTCTAATTCAGTAATTGTTTTGATGGGATCTAATGATGTAATTAAATCAATAATCAAAACAAAAACATACAGGGAGGCTTTTTTGCTATTTTTTTCTTTGACGCTTTTATCTTTTTTACGCTTTTTTTTTTTTACTTTCACCAAGTAAAAATCTTTTATTATAACACATACCTGTAGATAAATTTTATTTTAAAAACACTACGTCAAACCGTGGATACATACAAGATAATGTATCATAGAGGTCTAGGTTGTTTTCGCCAATTAAAGCTTGCTTCCTGGCAGGTTTATCTGTAAAAATTACATCTGGTTTATGATATGGTAACTGAATAGTTGTTGAGCAATTGTATGTATTTATTCATGACTCTTTAACCAGAAATTGAAGACAATAGAAGCACTTCTTCTAATGATTTTAGGGGGTTACTATTATGGTTAAAATTCTGATTTCATGTTGGCAGGACTGACTAATTAAGGTAATTACTTTTTAAGAGGGTCAAGTAAACGTGAGATGAATTCCTACAAAAATAGGTAAACAAAATTTTAAAAATGCAGCTATGAAATTTCGTTCTACTTTTATCGAGTGGCGGCATGTTTTTTGAACTAAGATTAATAAATTGTTCGAAGAGTTGCAAAGAAGGGTACAAGGTAAAATAGGTATTATTATTATTGAGCGACGAATTTAAATTGAATTTACATAATCAAATAAAGGAATTAGTGAGGGTATGAAGAACAAAGTGGCTTATAAAGATATTTGCAAGAAAATATTACTTTATCTTTTGGAAATAACGTCATCAAAAACATATAAGGCCCGAAATAGTACTTTTTGAAGAGTTGATTTTTTTCTTATTATAAATTAATGTTTAATAAAAATAATTGGTTTTCAATTATTTACAATTCATGTAATTTATGTAATTTAATAAATTTATTAAATATTCGAAATCATTTAATAAAGTATGTAAAAGTGTAAATAAATAAACATAAAGTTTTAAAATATGGTTGAAAAGCCAATTAATAAATCGAAGTCGTGTTAATTACTTAAGCAATTATTAAAAAGATGATGAAAAATTTTAAGTTACTGATTATTAATCATATTATAGTTAATCATTCTTGTATTTATATATGAGCATTCGATTTTATTTATAGCAAAAGAAATGGTTTTAGGTTATCGATTCAAATTTGTACCAGTTCAAAAATAGCTATTGCCATAGCAAGCAAACATCTTCCAAGAGCATGAAATGAGTAAAGCAAATCACTTTCTACTAAAAAATAGCTTTAATAGTAAAAATCCAATCCTTTTGCGAAACAAAAATTTTTGAGCGTTTATTATTTAAAAAATTTATGATAAACTTAGCATTAGATGTGGTCACAATGGGTAAATAGCATAGCGAAAGTATTAGAGATTCGATCACTAGGCTACAGTAAATTGAATGCTTCGAAGTCTGTTACTAAAACTGACCATTCAAGTGTAAAACTAAAATGCAATTTGGAAACTTGTTATTGCCTATACAGTAATCACTTAATTAGCAAAATGATATTTATTACTAATAAACCCGAATTCATTAAAGAATCTTATAATATATCTAAAACTTTAATTTACAGTTGACAAACCCAAACACACTACAAGAATCGACCGAATTTAAACATGATTCTTTTACTACTAAAGCGTTTATCTCTATTCAATTTAAAACAATTAGCAATAAAAGTTTATCTAGATTAACATACTATAATAAAGCAGTTCTAGACGAAAACATTTCCAGTTACCTTCACTCTACAACATAATCCTTATTTAAGAAAAAAGTAACTTCTTTATCTTTACTTGCAGTCCATTCATCTAACAAAACCCTCTTGTAGAAGCACTAGCGATTCTAACGTTATTAAGTTCTTCTTCTAAAAGAAAGTTTTCCATTTTAAAGAAAAAAATTAATCGGAGTTTAGGGTAGATAGAATTTATGTAGATGGAGTTTAGGTTAGGTAAGATTGAAGCATGGTCCAAAAGGTGATGATATATTTTGTCTTTTACACAAAGTTCGTCAGGAATGAGAGATCTTTTTGAGATTCTTTTGCATAGTGAGTATTGACAGTGCTCTGGAGTTATAAATGATTTTTACGACGATTTTTTATTAGTGAACGCTGCTCTAAAAAGTCTTCAAATAAGTTATTCGACAATTAATTTATACCAGCAATTACGAATTAAATTAAAATCTAATTTAAATCTACTACCTTGTTCTAATCTGTTTAATTTCTTAAGAATATCCGTCAATGCTTTTAATTCTTTGGGTAAATTTTATTATGTATTAACTTGAAGGACTCCAAGGTTAAACATTCGTCGAAGATTCTTTTCAAAAAGTTTACATCTTTCTCTCACTACTCCAGTTTGTGTACTGTCGGCTAATTAAACGAACTTTGCCTATGAACGTACTAAGTCCTCCGTTACGCTCCGGATAATTAAAGAGCGATTTAATGTCTAGATGTAAAGAATGAAGAAAATATTTATAATAAAGGTTCGTTAAAATACCTTTACTAATATTTCAAATTCGAATTAATTGAAAGAAAATATCTGGTATTTATTCGCCATAGATGATAAATATCTCTATTGTAACGAATTTAATTTTATAATCTTACCCTTTTTGGTGTACACGTCACTCTCGATATAACGTAGTACCTCGGGCATAGTGAGGAATTTTTTAAAAACCGCATTATTAGTAAATCCATTATATCAAGTATGATGTGGACCTGAATCTCCATTATATCAAGATTTTACTTAGTCTCCGTTATTATCAAGAGTAACGTGTAAATGATTATCTAACTAAATTAGTATCGTGATTGTTAAAGCCCTCAAAAGGAGGCAGCGTGCATATCGACATGAGGCTAACACGATAGCGTGGTGCCTCTGATGTCATAAAGTAGGTTCCAGGATGTGTTCTCTTTCATATTAATCTATATAAATGTATAAAAGTGAAGCCTTCATTCTAATAAACCGTTCTTATAATAAAGTTAACATAGACATAATGATATTCACTCCTTAATTTCACACCATCATTAAGTCGCCCTAATAGAATTACTATACCCTATAGAAACCTTTTATTATTCAATCCACATAACTTCTAGTAGCGGTTGGAGCTACACTGCGCATTTATTGTGCATTGCTTTCCCAACCAACCGTTACACTATGTATTTTGTACATACATTTAAATATGGTCTATTAAAAAAAAAAGGTAACAAAATTTGTTCTCTACTAATTCAATTATTATAAGTACGTAAAGTTACTAAAAAGCTATAATTTCAAAGGCTATTTATTAGTGGAATCTATAATGGTAGTTTTTTTATCTAGACTACATGTTACAAATAAACAATATACATACTCTTTACACTTTTCCTTTTAATAAGAAATGTCTCGAATAGTATTTCGCTTGGTAGCTCTCTCATTATATGAGTTAGATTAATTATAAAAATTTCGATTTGAAAAAAACTTTTAGATGTATTCTTTTAACAAATTGGGATTCGCGCATCTCAACATCATATGAGACTCAGATCTTGCATACAGTTTACAGCTTCAAGAGTGTTTCGTTACTAATTAGATCATACAACAGCCTGGGAAATTTTTTAGTTTTTGTAGATCTACCCGTGATTTCTCGTGATAATTAATCAATAAAAATACATAATTTATACTACAGTACTCAAAAGAATTTATTATTTATATTTAGAGAATAGATAGATATGCGTAAAGTGGGCAAATGTGATATTTATTATTAATCAACCTAAGTTCATTATATTAAAGAATCTACAAGACATAACCCAAAACTTTAACTACATTACAAGAATCGACCAAATTTAATATTAAACCCAGATTTTCTACCACAAAAGAACTTGTACCCATTCAGCTTAAACAATTAGAAATAAAAGTATATTTAAATCTAACGTAATAAAATAGTTTTAGACGAAAACGTTTCCAGTTACCTTCACTCTACAGTATAAACCAATAAACGGTAGGCATATTTTGTTTTCTAAGGGAAGTTCTTGAGGTTACTGATTATTTTTGATTATTTTTGTATAACGAATATAAACGTTCTTTCGAGGTGAAAATGGCTTTTGCCATGATTTTTTATTAGTGAAAATCACGTTCTCAAAAAGTACTTTAAAGTGTATAAACAAGTCACTCGGGCAATTGATTCACATCAGTCAATCATACGAATATCCTATGATTGCAATACATTTTTGAGCTGTTTTATCATTTAGAAATTTTATCAAAAATTTTACCCAAAAAATTTTTGATAAAAAACAATTTATAGTGTAATTAAACTAAACAAGCACAGATGGTTTAGTATTATTTATTGGAAAAACTGGCAATATAAAATATGAAGTTTCCTTTGTTAGCAACTGTGACATTGCTGAATACCATGCGCAAAGTCCTACGATTACTTTAAAAGAAGAAAGATTTGTTATTATTATTATTATTATCAGACAACGATCCTTCTGGCCAGTGCATATCTAAAATTCCTACCTCCAAAGCATCCACCAATTCGAGATAAAGTACTTAAACCAGTAAAATCAGCAACATCCAAAAAAATAAAAGTAGTAAATACAAAAAGGAGTGTTGAAATTTGTAAAACCGTAGTCCTTAAAGAAGCAATTAACATTAAAAATGTGACTATAAATAAGCGATTAAAAAAAAAAAATTAGTAGTGTTGATTAAAACTAAATCAGGATACAGTAAGATTAAAAGGGTACTAACAAATAGTCCATACAGTATGATAAATTCCAATTGCATTTCTAAGCATCACTTGATCATCTTTAAATGAATCAATGATCCCAGAACTTGGAAGATGAATAAATCCAAAAGAAATCCAGTGACCACCTACAAGGAATAGGTGATAGATTAAGAATGTAACTTTAAAAAATAACGATATAAATGTAAATTCAACATACCGTATGAACAAAAAAGAGTAGCACTTAAAGTTTTACCAGAATAGAATTCACACAATCCAGCAAGTACTTGAATAACACCACCGTAAAATAAAGAGGCACCAAGCCAAACTTGACGATTAGTTATATTTGCTATTTGAATAAGATACAAAGAATATATGAGCTGTGTAGTTCCAAATGCAAATAGACCTAATAAAATTGATAAAAAATTAGACATTTTAAAATTTTAAGAAAAAAAAAAAAGGTAATATTACCTATTGGGCCAGAATTACCGAATCCTCTTTGTTCCGAATAGTGGAATTCGTTCAAATACACATCGAGACTTTTACGTTTATTCGTTAATGACATTGTTAATGTTTATACATTTAACAAAAATTAATATATTATTAAAAGAATGTAAAATTAAATATAGTATTTAATTATATATTTCAAATTATTATAATGAAAATGACAGGCTGTACATTGAGAAAGCTTGTCTTTTTAAATAGCTTTGAAATCAATTTTAAAATCTATATATATAGTTAATTATTAACGCTACGTATATATTTTTAATGAATAATCCTCAAATGTGAAAATTAAGTGTATTACTAAAATTATAAATGATTGTCAATTTCACAATTTTACGATTGGGTTCTTTCGTACGTATGTACGTAGCAAATCGACAAATTTTATATTTGGAAATATATATCAATTAATCATTTTGATGCAAGTTTTAAATAATTGTAATAAATTTAGATATTTGCGCGTAACATAGTTCATTGGGACTTCCGACATACTAATTAAATCTATGTAAGGTATTATAATAAAAACTAGTAGTGGAGATTTTATGCATAGATTGACAAAATCGTTAAATTTACTAGTGAAGACTAGTGATCAAAAAATTGATTCATCTTACGTACCAACTAGTTTTTCCTAGTAATTTATACATCACGATTAGTTAAATATAATTAAACAAAGTTACGGTTTACAATTTTCAATTAAATTAGTAAGAACTTTTGTAACATTGTTCAAATTAAAGAAAATGAAAATTTTAACTGTAACTTTGTTTAATTATATTAAACTAATCGTTTGATGCATAAATTGCTAGGAAAAAATAATTAGTACGTGAGATAAATAAAATTTTTGGTCACTAGTCTTCGCTAGTAAATTTAACGATTTTGCATAAAATCTGCACTACTAGTTTTTATTACAATATATGAGTGTCGTTAAAAGAAACATACACATTTATATATGGCCTATATGAGAACGCCCACAGCAAAAGCAGGGGATGGGACTATATAATATATAGCCCCATCCCCTGCTTTTGCTGTGGGCGCTCCCATATAGGCCATATATAAATATGTATGTTTTCTTTTAGCGACATTCATATACCTTACATAAATTTGATTAATTAGTATATCGGAAGCCCCAATAGTTCATGTACATTATATTGATATGCATTTAGTCATCGTTATCATTTTACATAGTAATAACAGTAGTGATAGCGGATTTAAATGCTAACACTACAGCACTAACAGTAATTAAATATATCTAGAAAAATCAGAATCCGAAGCAAATAAAGTCTTGTTACACTGACTGCAGATCCCCCAATTTACAATTCTTATTTTGTTAAGTCTGTAATACCATGATACACTGCTGCAGTATAATATGTGAGTTATTGTTTTGCAAATTTCATTTGTTCTATCCATCTAACATTGCATAGACATGCATTTGATTTTGATCAAACAGTTAGTGTTCTTGTTCTACTTCGGACGATTGGCGAACTAAATTCAAAAGTTCAAAGAATTAAATTTATTGATATTTTAATGTGGTAGCAATCAGGAATGGTAAATGACCTGAAATGACCCAAATGACAAATGACTAGTAATTTGTCATTTCAAGGCCCAAATGACCTTAGAAGGTCATTTAACATATGTTAGTTAATATTCTAATACCTTTTAATCAATCAGAATTGGCCGCCAAGTAAAATTAAATTTTATAAAATATAATTACTAATCGTAGTTATATATCAAAACAAATTTGACTAAATCAATTAATATTTATGCCTTAGGCTAGACCAATTTGATTTGGTGGTTTACATTACCCCCTTTTGATTTCCCCCTTACTCTCTTAGTAAAAAAAATTTTTGGGATATACATATATGATTTTGCCGGAGAGCTAATACCGGGCGGAATTAAGATTAGAAATTGTAAGGATCCGAAAAATTCCGAAGAGAAAATGAACGAACATAAAAGACGAGCAAGGTCGGTCAGGCCGATAATTTCCGATTGAAAAAATTTTAATAAAATTTACTATGTATACGTTCCATCCCCCTGTTTGAAGAAGGGATGTAATGTAAACCACCAAATCAAATTGGTCTCGCCTTAAGTAAAGTTGATCGGGATAATACATTGCATACGTTCTATAAATTGAAAATTTTTAAATTTTTTCGTGTAAACGTAATATGCGGAATTAATAAAAAAGGTATTTAATTTACATGAAAATTTCAAAATACACGCAATTTATTATCCCGAAAAACTTTAAGGCATATATTAATTGCCTTAGTAAAATTGTAATTTAGTATATTGCTACGATTATCGATTAGAAAAGTAATAAAGTTCAATAACTTTTTATATGAGTTATTCAACCAATAAAATTACTTTATATGCAAATGACCCAAATGACCTTAATGATCCAAATGACCTGGTCATTATTTGATGACTTGAGGTCATTTAAATTTTGATCAAATGACTAGGTTATTTACCATCTCTGGTAGCGATAGTGGATTTAAAACATTCCAATGCTAATACTAATAGTAATTAAATATTAACAAACTAAGTTCAAAATTCGAAGAATTGTAATTTAGTGTGATAGTGATAGTGGATTTAAAATATTCTATGTTAATACTAAAAAATTAATTAAATATTAGCAAATTACTATAGTTCAAAATTTAAAAAATTAAATTTTTTGATAATTTAATATAGTAGTGATAACAGATTTAAAATATTTTAATATTAGGATAAATATATGCATCGCCTACTGCGATGTGTTTATACATCGCATCTATATATATAAATTATAATTTGTCTTATAACAACTAAAGTAACCGGGATTTTTTTTG